GTACAAAACCTTGTCGAAACGTTGTACATTTCCTGTTATGTTAAAGTTTTTCTTCATTACCCATTCAAGCCGTCTCCAAGCATTATTAGTCTCAAAGTGTGTTCCTCGTCATCGTAGTTCAGACGACAACAGCGGAATTATTCAACGCCAGTGAATTACTAGTATATATTAATTGTAATTGTAAGATTTTCCTTTCATGCTTCATTAGTTTAGTTTTATTTCCACTAAATATTTTTTACAGTATTCGTGTGTTTCGTTGTTTTCGTATTCTTTAATGTTAGTTTGGTTCCTTCTAAACATTCAGAAAGTAAGTGCAATTTAGTTTCCATTAGCCTTAATTACTTTTATAATTTTCTTTTCCGTTCCTTTTTGATGTTAAAAGTCATTAAATAGCACGTAAGATTTTCATTAAAGATGCTCAATAAATTATTTAACGTTCCAATACACCCGGTTTTGATATCTACTAAACAATAAATTATTTAACGTTCCAATACACCCAGTTTTGATATCTACTAAACAATAAATTATTTAGCGTTCCAATACACCCAGTTTTGATATCTACTAAGCAATAAATTACTTAACCTTTCAATACACTCAGTTTGATATCTACTAAACAATAAGTTTAACATTCCAATACACCCAGTTTTGATATTTACTAAACAATAAATTATTTAACGTTCCAATACACCCAGTTTTGATATCTACTAAACAATAAATTATTTAACGTTCCAATACACCCAGTTTTGATATCTATTAAACTGCTTTAGTGAGATTTTAAGCTATAATTTTCCTTTTTTAAGGACTATCAAATAGTTCTCCCAAGACGTTTTGTCATTAAATGTATAAATATACATATATAAAGTTACATAATGCTTAGATCACAGAGTATCGAAAGACTATCAGTGTAAAATATAAGAGGAAGCTGGAGGTTTTCAAAAAATACATTTCATATATACTCCACGATTTTTCAACATAGGCTTGATGTCATTTTCTCGTAAGAACCGACATCTTCAGGAAGTTGTATATATCATACAATTAAAGTGTTTATTTCAGTCGATATGTTATATATTTTATTTACTAAAGCTTCACAATGGACTATCTGCGCTATGTTTGCCGCGGGTATCAAGACCAGAATTCTAACGTTGTAAGTCCTCAAGCTTACCCAAAAACCATTTGGGTCACCATTTAATATGTAATCCAATTTTAAACAAAAAGAGAGGGGCCTCTACTACCTTTCAAGTTAAAAAAATAATACGGTTTTCAAAGAAACAATAATTATACCTGTAGATAGATGGGCAACTTACCCTCAAAATAAAAGGTTTCATTCCAACGCGGGTTTAAAGTTCGATGTTTAACTTTAGTCTCAAGCTTGTGCTTTTTATCTGGAAGAAGACACACCCTCACATATGGGTCACTTGTTCCTGAAAAATAAATAATCTCGTGTATTTATACAACTTGCCTGCGATTAGTTACATTTTACACACATATTTCATCCTCATAAATTTATTTATTTAAATATGTTGCTTCTTGTAAGTTTCACACAAAGCTACATAAACGCTATCTGCGCATATCCGAACTGATTGACTAGCTGAAAGGCAGCTCCGAAGCAGCCAACCAACTCTTCGGCTACTGTTGACTGATCCAATATTTGATCATCATTTTTATAGCACATCCACTACTCTAAAATTATGGCCCAAAAACCACAGACCCTCGGATTTACAGTCCAAACATGCTAACCAATAGACTATGAATTCACAGTCCAAACATGGTAACCAATAGAATATGGATTCACAGTCCAAACATGGTAACCAATAGACTATGGATTCACAGTCCAAACATGCTAACCAATAGACTATGGATTCACAGTCCAAACATGCTAACCAATAGACTATGGATTTCACAGTCCAAACATGTTAACCAATAGACTAGGGATTCACAGTCCAAACATGCTAACAATAGACCCTCGGATTCACAGTCCAAACATACTAACAATAGACCCTCGGATTCACAGTCCAAACATGGTAACCAATAGACTACGGATTCACAGTCCAAACATGCTAACCAACAGACTACTCCCGAACCTCATTTAACTAGATCAAGTTATTACCTCCCAAAAAAGAAAGGTTAGGGTTATTTTTTCCAAAAGCCAATACTTCCCTTTTTTGTTATTTATCCAAACACTCCCGGAATCATGGTGAGCATGTACTCGAAATCTATCTGAAGCAGATTTAATGAACATTTCGAAGTTCGCATATTGACGATTTATAAATTTAGGTTCGCTTTTCTGAGTATATAACATACTTATTTCCATTTCTTAAACAGATCGAAATTTATCAAAAAAATATCACTACAAACGATATTTTTAAAGAATAATAAAGATTGAAAAGTTAAATTGTTATTTGTTTAAAAGCTACAAGACAGAAAAATAAATACTTTAAGAGTATCTATATTACTCAGAGTTTATAAATATATTTAGTTGTTGTTGTTTTTTTTTTGAGTTTCTGATGAAAAATACAGAACATGATTTTTTTCTCTTAGACGTATTGTGTTCATTAGTCAAACGATTTTGTTTTTTATGCATGGTGAACTTGTTTATGAAATGTTCATGTACTCTTAGCGGCTGTTTTTCTACTACTCGTTGTAAAGGCCAGCTTACTAGATTCCTACATTCTAAGCAAGTATTCCACATGTGTTCAACCATTCACGTCTACATTCTACATAAACCACTCTTGTTTTTTAAATTTCATAACATAGGTTAATTAATACGCAAGAAATAATTAACGTATAGAACAGTCCGTGAAGATTTGTTTACATAAACCATTCTTAGTACATTCTAATCCATTGCTCCTATATATTCACTCATATTTTTTTCTAATTCTAAGTAATAACTACGCTCTAAGTAACCATTTTAGCTACATTCTTATTAACATTTCCTAACTCCATCCAACCATTCTAAGTAGCAATTTAAGCAGTTTTCCCTATGGCTACATTATAAACAATAGTATTTCTATAACAACACTCTAAACAAACGCCGTAGCTATATTCAACCGTTCTTATCCATATTTTAAACGGTTGTCAATAGCTACGTATTAAACAACCGTAGACACAGTTATATTCAACTATCATAGCTATCCTTCAAGCAACCGTCCTATATATCTTCCGTTTAAGCAACCACTCACAGTTACATGCTGAGCAACCACATCTACTGTTACATTCTAAGCAATCACATCCACATCTACATTTTAAACAACTACATCTATAGTAAATTCTAAGCAAACACATCTACAGCTACATTTTAAACAACCACATCTATAGTAAATTCTAAGCAAACACATCTACAGCTACATTTTAAACAACCACATTTATAGTAAATTCTAAGCAAACACATCTACAGCTACATTCAAAGCAACCACATATACATTCTAAGCAACTATTTTTACAGTTACACTCTATACAACTATTTATATATCTACATTCTATAGAAACATTTATAAAATTACATTCTGTGCAACCATTCCTAAAAATACACTCCGCCCTTAGCCATATCCACTTTATTAGCTACGTTATATTGGATTTTACGGGGCAAATGTCATATGATCATTAACTAAGAATCCGATTATAAAACAGCATATATACTAATTGGTTTACCACTTGGAAGTTTATTATATAGCTTTATGTATGTGTTTGGTGCATTATCAGTCTTTGTTATACTTCGCCTCCAATCAACCTAGTACTTGTTAACACAGTCATCAAGTTGGGTTTGGAGAAAACAGTTTCTCGGCTAGATTCAATTGAAAAGTCAATAATTTACAACTATACCATATAAAATTAATGTAAGTTGGTTCCTCTGTGGTTACAGGTGATTGAGAGTTTAAAGGAATATTGAATCGTATCATGTAGTATTACATTGAGCCATCAGGTTAACTTGAAATGATCTAATCATGCCTTATGAGTAATTCAATTGAACAAAACACATCTGACACTTGTTTAAGCTAAGCAGCAACAAAGAAGATTTTCAGTTCCTATTTTACAGCAACAAGCACTTGCGCGTCTTGTATAAATTTAGCGACGTTTCGCATCTTCTTTTAAGGGCTCTGGAGATTTTCACATTGAAAACCGGTTCTGACATCAGTTACTATATAACTACAATGCGTTATTTGCTTAAACTAGTTCAAACAGGTGTCTTATTTTTGGTCTAATTGCACAATTTAAGAAACGTACAAGTAAACTCAGAGCTACGTTCTTTATTTGCACAAAAAAGGCAATATTTTATACAAAGTACTGCAAAGGTATACTTTATGAATTAAATTTTCTGTTGGCAAGCTAGAATGAAAATCTTATCCCTTATTATTACTTTAAAACCCCTGATGACAAATATGGCATCACGTGACAGCAGTTCTCGAAACTTGGCAAATAAATACATCTAAAATATATCTCATCAAAACAACTTTTGAAATTGAACATATTTAGGCACCTTTGAGATATTGCTTTACGTTAATTAATGTTGATGGAATAGATTGCTTTTACACTTAAAGTAGTAAAAATTATAAGTTAAATATACTTTTGGAGTTCAACTATTTTGCACAATTTTTTTCGTTGTAATGTAACTGTTAAATTATACAAAAAACAGATCAAGTCTTTGGATGGGAAGTTCCTCAGTTTGCAAAACATGACATTTAGTTGTAATGCGTTTGTGTATTAGATTATATTAAGGCACGGCATGGCCAGGTGGTTAAGGTGCTCGACTCGCAATCTGAGGGTCGCGGGTTCGAATCCCCGTCACACCGAACATGCTCGCCCTTTCAGCCGTGGGGGGAGTTATAATGTGACGGTCAATCGTTGGTAAAAAAGCAGCCCAAGAGTTGGCGATGACTAGCTGCCTTCTTACACTGCTAAATTAGGGACGGCTACCGCAGATAGCCCTCGTGTAGCTTTGCGCGAAATTCAAAAAACAAACAATACATTACAATAATACTTTTCATAATTCAAATCTAAATCTTCTTAGTCTTTTTTGCCCTAATACAGTTTCCAGTATGAAGAGTATATGTTAAAATGTTAACTATTATAGGGTTATTCAAAAGTCCACTGACAGACAGATCATTCAGAAATGGAAAAGTATTGGAAAATAATTCTTAGTGATATGGAATGAGCTGTTGTGAGCTTACCCTTTAACAATATTACTGAGGTCGTTCAATGTCATCATCAAGGTCATGTCCTTCAAAAATTTATTATTATGTCTCATGTAACCAAAGTTTCACGAGTAAATGCGTAAAAAATAAAACCATTTTAAGCCCAGCGTTACCAAAATCAGTCCTATATTTATATGGAGAAATGCATTCGTTTCATGCATATGTAGTTGTGTCTCAGGAGATCAAAATCCGACTGTAGGTTTGAGAGGAAAAGCCAGAATTCTGCAATAGTATGCACCTATGAAGAGTCCAAAGGGTTAAAAACTATTGAAATAAAACTTCCTATGTAAAATATATCTCACAAATACAATGCTGCATCTGCGCCCAAATTACTTAAATAATGGCTAAATATTCAGACCAAGGACATGGTCCTACTGTATGAAAATTGGCACCAGAATGTCAGGACTGCTCCCAGATGTATTCCAGAAGAATGTTGTCCTTCACATCAGATGATAGTAAAAGTGTCAGCGGCTGCTTACTACAGGCTCATTTGTGCATATACCACATAAAAGCAAACAATATTGACAATGAAGGCGCCATATTTGTCACACATACAAAGAAATAAAAACATTCCAATACCTGCGATATTATTTTTCATAATTGGGTTAGTCGAACATCATTGTTAGAGTGCTTAATAAAAACAGTTCTTTAAGCACAGGGGCTGGTTGTTTTCCACCAATTCGTAGTACTGTTTATCTCAGCTGCATTTAGAACAATAATTGTTGTTATTGTAGAACAATTTTGAAATTTTTAGTTTGTTATTGTTCCAAGTAGCTCAGCGGTAAGTCTGCAGGCTTACAACACTAAAAATCGAGGTTCGATATCCGTTCCTCACAACAACTAAACTTTTGTTATTTCTACATCTTTCCAATTGACATATTTGGTGTTTACTGTTTCAAAAGTCATGACTAAGTAACCTCAATGATTACTATCACACAATTCCCCCACAGCACATCATTACATATCACTAGCAGTTATTTTCACATACCACTCCATTTCTGAATTATTATGGACTTCTGAATCAACCTACATACCCAGTTTGTTGTATGCTGCTGTCGACGAGGCCTTTCGCCAATACCAGATATATAAATATAAATAAATAATTCTTCAACACTTAGTTGAAGCATTATTTGTATCAGTCGTTTACTACTAAGAATGGAAGACTTTGAAAGCAATAAGCTAGCATATTACAAACAATATGCTATTTCTGGTTATTCGCGCTGTGTTTTACAAATACAATGCCTGACCACATACGCATTAGACAATTTAGATAACATTTTTCATTCTTCATCTTCCTTTTCAAATATTTATATTGTTTTTTTTTATTCTAGTCAATCTCACTTTGAAAATTGTTTCATTGTTATCTATTATAAAAATCATACACGTTCCCACGAATAGTCGAAAGTTCGTCATTAATACATACTCAAAAGTATAAATAGTTTGTCGTTTGATAAGAGATTTTAAAACCGTATAAATGAATGTATTCACGAGTTATTACTTCACTACAATTACCAAAAATGTTTTGTTATCTTTCAAAACTTGTAGTGCATATTGTAAGAATTTACATATTTTGATAAACAGTTTAGAAAAAAAACGACCTTTATAATCCAGATATATATAGAAGAATTTTTTTGTCAATTTTAACCAATGTTTGTAATGTTTCTTCTATTTTCTGTCTATTTTGTTTTTAGCTAACCATAAAACATATTGTAGTTTTTTTTTATCTCTCATATAAAAGTAATCTATGCCATATGTTAGAATAGCTGTATAATTAGTATTATAACTATACTATAATATTAGAACAATAATAATAATAATAATTTATACACTGTTAGACGCGCGTTATGGCAGACTCGAGAAATAGAACATTACAAGCAGTTTTATCATTTAACGAATATTCTAATATCAAACAGTTGTGTATATTTATTCTTATGAAGCCGCAAAGGCGAAACGTTGGTTAAAAACAAAAAAGGTTTCATTTGGACCGAGAATGAATATCTGCCTCTTTCTGACTGTCTATTTATGCGTTTAATGTATCTCCTGAGAACTACTCAGCAAAATCATTGTTGAGGGCCGGGCGTGGCCTACTGTATCCGAGGGTCCGTGGTTTGAACTAAGTGTGAATGACGTAATAGTCTTCAGGTAATTCTATTTTCTTCAGTACGACCTATTATTTTAATCTCTGCTTATAAAGAAGGAATATATTTTAAATATTTTGCTTCTGTGACATATGAATTTCTTTCTGAGCTGGAAAACATAACATTTGTTACTGCTCTGGATAATGATATTTAAACTACTGATAGTAAAAACTTACCGATAATATCCTTGGCGGGTAAACCTTTGGCTTGAATTACCTTGAGAATCAGAGTAGAAGAAGTAAAGTTATACTCCAAGCTGAATTGAATCTGACCCGCTGGCTCATCTGGATCACACATCTCTCTGGCTAAGTCTGCGTCTGCTTCCTGTTGCTGTAAGTTTATATACTACTTTTTGAGTGAGAGACAACAAACTCGCACGAATACAACACTTATGATGTATAGTTATTACATATAATATACATTTATATAATTCTTGTAATTTCGATATCGTGCGCCTGGGGCTAAAGATCTAGTACATAGGCAATGCAGTGTCGCTATATTAAAGTTATGACTGCGGATTGTTGAACAGCCCTTTCAGACGAAGGCTATTTGTACTTCAAAGAAACTGCGCGAGTTTAGGAAAGCTTCGAAACTACAGCTCAAGTTTACACAGGGCAACATACCTGTACACAGAGTGAAGGTTATAGTTACAAAAGAGAAGTATCTATCGCTAGAAAACACAGCAATGAAATTCGGCATATTTCTGGTACCACTAACAAGGTAAAAGAAATAGGCTTAAAGCTCCCAAACAAAAAGTTCATAAGCTTCCAGCCACACCTTTAATCAACGGCTATCGAAGAAAATGCAATCACAACAACCTCATTCGAAACCAAGTCCTACGATGTAGCTTCAAAGCTTTAATGTGGCCTGCTTACATGTGGCCTTTGTAGCTTGTTACAGTGGATTTTGTAGTGTCAGAAAGTAATGTATTCATGGCATCAAAGTGAATATATTTGATAATGAAGGAAGTAGTTTGAAGTGTATCACAAGATTGGGATCATAATTGTTATGAAGTGTTTTTAGCCATTAGTATATCAAGCCCGGAGAATTGTTTTGATGATAAAAATAGTGTTACTTTAAAAAAAATCAAATTTTCTGAGAATTACCTCATTTCAGATAGATTACTTTGTTTATTATCGCTGAAAATGTAAAGTATTAGTTTATTATATTGTTCTATACCTTTAATCACGTCATACTGTCATTGTAAATATTTAAATACGTATTAATATAATTGTGAATATTAATCAGATGCTACTATCTTTGTCAGTATTTAGTTACATGCTACTATTGTTTATTTGTAATTAAGCACAAAGCTACACAATGGGCTCTGCCCATCACGGGTATCGAAACTCGGTTTCTAACGTTGTAAGTCCGCAGATATACCGCTGTGACACTGGGAGGCTACATGCTATTACTTCTGTAAATCTGTAATTACATGCTGCTATCACTGTGAGTCTCTAATCACTCTCTTACTGTAAATAGTTTATCACATACTACAATCGCTGTGAATTTTATTCACTATTTTTATCATTGTAAATCTTTAATTACGTCCAACTATCATTCAGATGGAAATTTTAAATATTTATTCCAGTTTAGCGCAAATATTCACAAACATTTTCTATTACTATATATCTTTAAAATAGTAATATTAACATTTTAAATCATTTTATTACTTATCATTTGTTTTTATCTCGCTATACCTTTTTTTAATCACGAACATTTAACTGTTGAACTTAAGAACGTTAGACGACTGATATTTTAAACTCGTACAGAATAATCTTGATATACTCTTAGAAAATCAAATTAACAATCTTTGTAAAAAATACAATAATTTTAGGGCACTATGCATGGTAAAAGTGTTTTTGCATGCAATTCTAATATATTTTCAAAATAACTTCAAAGTTTTTAAATTCAGCTTTCGGCATTCACTGGAGCCATCTTCAGGTGAAAATTCACGGTCGATAGTTTAATCAAAGAAACTTTGTCCACCACAAAACTCAAACTAAAGTTAAGTTCTTATTAATCATCAATTGAGAGTATTTTGAAAACAAAATTCAAGTTTTGAATCTTGAGACATTTTAACTACTCTGTGAATTTTCACCTCAAGGTGGCTCCATTGAGTGTCAAAAAAACGGGTTTCGATACCCGTGGTTGGTGCAGCACGGATAGCTCATTGTGTAGCTTTGTGCTTAACAACAAACAAAAACCAAAAAAGTTCAATTAAAAAGACTTTTTCCATCACGAAACCCAAACCGAAGATGAATCCTAATACGGTAACCTAAGTATCTCTCAACTTATTCATAGTTATCTTAATATACCTTATCATAAAGGAACAGTATTGTATTTGTACTTATGGCAAAGTTACTAAAGCTATCTGCTGCCGTCTGTGATTCTTAACTACTGACCAGAGTGGGGAAGGGCAGCCAGTCAGCAGTACTCTACCAGGGGCGTAGCCAGAGAGGTCGGAATTAGGGTCAAATGACCACCCCAATATTCTGAGTTTTTCTAATAAACACTTTTATTTCAACTGAGAGCAGTTAGAAATATCTACAAAGGAACGAAAAGAAGTAATTTATGAGCTTCATCTGAACGTTTTAAGAGTGAAAACAAAAACTAGGTTTACTTACTTCAGCTGAGGGAAGTAAGGACTGTAGAAAAGACATGGCTCCTGAACTGTTCATACTTGTCCCTCCTTTTTCAGATGTATTTGTTGGTCTAAGAAAGAAACACAAATTTCATCAGAATTGTTACAGCCTACTTCTTGGAAACAAAATCTCACTATCTCTTCAACTGATGTATAAAAGGACAGCAAATATATACTGCAAGGACATAATTAGTTATAGACCTTGCTCATTTAATCATACGAACTGAATATGGATTCTATGTTGATAAGCTGAGTTATCAAATTGTTAATATTTACTTACAATTATAATAAACTGAGGTAATGCTTATCAGCTGATTAGTCCAAGTTAGATGTTAATATTGTAAAATTCAGTCTCTGAGAAACAGATGTGTTCTCTTTAGAAACTAAACTAAACCACTGGAAGCACGAGATTTAGATTTACGGTATGATAAGAAATCATTATCATGAACCTAAGTGACTCATGCAGGATCCCATAAACAACTTCAACTTAATACCAAGTAGTGGTGACACACACTTCACCGTAGAGCATTATGAAAACGTGCTTTAGAGTGTGCAATCCCAGATAAGAGCCACTGTTAAAAGACAGAAAATATTAATATTAACATGAACTGGTTAGATTAAAGAAATTAAATGTCACGGTCTTATAATCAGGTGCTGTTATCTTTAAAGCTAGATACCCCAGTGTTTGTTTTATAGTATAAATATATACGGTCTTTGTGAACTTTAGACTTCATAAATCGCTTTGTGAAAGTTGTTTCTAATATATAAGAGTTTACGTTAAAATATTATTGCCTGATAACAAAATATAAAGTATAGTTGGGATAAAATAGTATATAGAACTTGAGTAGAAAGTATTGCTATATTCTTGACAATATGGATTTTTATAGGTATTTACTGTGTTACGGCACCGCAGTTGCTCCAAAATCAAACTTTTCTAGCAACCTGATACCTTATAACATTTTATTCGTGAAAAAAATATATTTTGCCACAATTAAATGTAACAGAATAGCTGATTTAAAATACAACTTTTAAGCAAAAATTATTTAGCTTCAAATTACGAGGAAAATTAGTAAATTTCGTTAAGATATTCTTATTAAAATCCACCTTTTATTAAACAGGTGTAGAAAAATAACAAAAGAAAATTAAAATAGCAATATTCAAAACAATAAAAGTGACATAGATAATCGCTAATGTAAAATATATAAATATATGTATTATATATATATGATTTATGAATATTAAGCTTTTAATACATGCTTAGCTAATTTAAAAAGAAAAAGTTAAAGAATCGTCCTAACTCACTCAACTTGCTGTCTGTAGTGTCCAAGTCAAATTCAAGTAAATAGTTCCGGAAGAAAGAGTGGAAAAAGAAAACAACAAACATAAAATTAGTACAAAACCCACGTGAAATATGAGTACAATAACATCAAAAACATCCCCAAGTAGAGAATATTAGAAACGCAAATGACACAGTTTAGTGAAGCACTACTGCAGGCTTTTGGTAGGAAAAGAATAAATTATTTTCAATATTTTTGGCTTATAACGAATGTGTCAAACTTTGTTAATAAATATCATCACGTGGTCACATTGCACTTAACCACATGTTTCTGTTAAAGGAAAATCATTTGAATCTCATCATATGACATTCCTAGTTTTAGTATACAAGGTTATTTAATTAATAGGGATAAAGTAGTAATAAAAGGGGGGAGGAGAAAGTTTTATGTAAATTTGAGTTACTGTCTGTTCAAATTGATGATATCAAAACTAATAGCAATGGGATTGAATCTATGTGTATTTTTGTCAGTGGTTATAAGGGAAAAATACTTTTAATTGAAATTTATTACCGACCACCTGATGAAAATGATGAAATTAAGGACAAACTTTTGAGTGTGATAAAGAATTAAGTATTAATGAGGTTATAGATGTGGAAGATTTTAATTTTAGGCATATAGAATGGAAAATGCTAGAATTATGAGGAAGACAGGTTTTTAAAAACTGGTTAGGATGATTTTCTTGATCCTACTGGGAAGAATGCTATTTTAGATTTATTATTAAGTTATAATCATTTCTCAATTAGATTTGATATTTTGCTGCATACAAGGATAAGGAATTCAAAAAGCACATTTTCAAGAGCTCAGGCAAGAATTATCTGTTGTGAACTGAGCAACTGAATTAGTTGGAGATACTGATCAGATGTGGAAAATTTTTAAAGATAAATTCTTAAGCATTCAAGTTCATTACGTTCCTTATGGAAAAAAGGTGACTAAAGGTTGGCTCACAAAAGATATAAAGGATAAAATTAAAGAAAAGCATTATAAATATAAGAGAGTTGGCCGAACGGGAAATTAAGAAATCAAAAAAGTATATGAAAAAAGTTGGCTGAAAATGTAAAAAAAATAATTGTTAGGATTTCTTCCAATACATTGATGGTAAGCAAAGTGTTAGGATGGAAGTAGGGTCTATGAGGGATGATACAGGAAGGCTAATATCTGATGATTATGGGATGGCTTGGGTGTTAAATTCTACTTTATCTTCAATATTATCCTAAAAATTTGTTAGATGGAAACGAAATTGAACAAGATGATCAAAGTAAACCTGAGCTTTTAAAAAAAAATGTGAAGTTTTAAAAATGATAAAACTCCTGGACCAGATAGTAATTGTCCAAGGGTTTTGAAAAAGGTTAAGGATTGAATATTTGAATATTATTATTTTTTTGAAAGCCTGATAAAAGATACTTTGCAAAATCATTTAAAATGTTTAAAATTTTGTTAGATAGTCAGCATTGTTCCACTAAGGGAAACGTTGCCTTACTAATCTTTTAATATTCTTTGAAAAAGTTACTTGTCATACAGATGGGTGTACGGATGTGGATTTGGTGTATCTGGATTTTCAGAAAGCATTTCACAAGGTGCCACATAAAAGGCTTGTTTAAAAAGTTAGCTCTGTTGGTGTGAAGGATGGGTTCGCTCATTGGATAGAAAACTGGCTAGATAAAAGAAAATAGAGGTTTGTTATAAATGGAATTAATATCACGAGTGTGTGATTCCTCAGAGCCCAGTGTTAGAAATTTTGCTCTTTTTGATTTACATCAATGACATAGATGAAGGAATGGTCAATAGATTATTTGACTTCGCTGATGATATTAAAGTTTTGGGTCATAGTGTCAATGAAGAGGATGCTATTGCTTTACAAAAAGATTTGGAATATTTGGTGAGTTGAGCGAATAAATGGCAAATGACTTTTAATTATAATAAATGCAAGGTAATGCATGTTAGATATCAGAATTTGAATTACAATTTTGATGGGAATAACCATGGTTTATCATTTTCCTAAGACCTTCAAGAGATGTGTTGTTGTTGCTAGTGGCATGGCAAATATATTTTTAGGTTGTATTTAAGGTAGTTTAAGGGAAATCTTGATAAGTATTAGGTCGTCAAGAAATTAGTGTCACGTATTGGAACACTTTCATTAACCACCACCCCAAAAACGTACGTATAATAGTTAAACGAACCGCCTAAACGCTACGTTAGTGTAGCCTATATAATGTGTAATGTTTATTATATTCTAACCCCTTATAGTGATGGCACAAGAAGAGACACACAGTCGGCATGTAATGGTGTTTGAATACAAGAAGGGAGACAACGCCTCCCTCTATAGCCACAAAGAATATCAAAGAAGTTTGTGGAAATGTTTTGAATGTTCGTAAGTGTCAACGATAGTTTCGCAAATTTCGTTCATGTGACTTTAGTCTTAAAAACTGTGATGGCAGGGGCTGACATGTTAGAATTGACACTGATGCTCTGAAGAAGC